TTATGATTTTTTTTTATATCTATGGCTATGCATAGTTATGATAAACAAGATTTCTTAAATTATGAATTCTCAGATGAGGAAAGTTATTATGCAGAAATCATCTGTTGCTTAGATTTTACAATTTTTATTAATTAAAATTTATTTATTACATGTACAATTATTCTATCATTAGCAACTGCTTCGCTTAATGATGTCCGGATCTTCAACACTAATATATATCTGATCACTTATCTACCCATCAAGATTCTAAAAGATGCATTATGTTATGCGAATCCAAGACTGATGAGATTAATTTTTCGATGTGGATTTTTATGCAGAGTTTCTAAATGAGAAAAGTGATGACGAGTAGAGAGTTTTGATTATATAAACGATGCCGAACAGCTATGGTTTGCACTGCAAATGAGTTATTAGGGTCTTAGAGTCTTGCTCCTTGATGAAGACATCAATTCTGCAACTGTAATAAAATCAAAACTTGAAGAAATGGATTATGTTGGTTAGTTACTTTAACTCCAAACTGTTCTTGATTTATTTAGTTGTGAATTTATTGTGCATGACATTTCCACATGTTTAGTTGAAGCTCTTTACTTTATTATAATTTATGTTCTTGAGATTGTCTTAATCATGTGTTGTGCAAAAAAAAAAATTAAGATAAAAGAAAAACTCTTCTCGTATGTTGATGATCACGGAAATGGAGTTCGAGTATTTAAGTTGTTTATCTTTTGAGTCAGTGTTTTAGTAGAATTACATCTAAATGTGTTCAAAACCGGATAATATTTTTATGTTCAATACATAAACTATTACCTTTCAGTTTTGGTTCCATATGTTTGCAATTTTTCATCGTTCATATCACATTCGTTTTAATTTGTATATAATATGTTATAGATTGTATATATTCATATTGGGGGCTTTCCTAGTTTGTTATAACATTGAGAAAGAAATCATAAAGTTATTTTATGAGTTTTGAAGTAAATCTATTCACATAACGAATAGAAAATTAATATTAATATACTATAATATTCCATAGTATTTAGCTTAAATTTTGAAGGGTTTAAAACCAAAGTTACATTTTGACTCTTGAACTCAAATCAGATGTGCAGTAAGACCATTTAGAAAATCAGAAGTCTATAAAATAATAATGCTAAAAGGAAAAATCGATTCCCCTTTCACTTAAAACAGAATATAAATATAAGTATTAAATAAATAAATTTCGGATGTCAGAAATCCGAAATCTTTTGAAATCAATATCCAAATCCAAATCAGAAAATTCGGATAATTTCGGATTGGATTTTAATATCGGGTATCGGATATTGGATATTTTTGAACACCTCTAATAAGTCTCTAAGCTCTTTATTATCGCAAATATTCACCATATACACTGGAGGTTATCTCACTTTGGCATTAATGTGTGCAGTTTCTGCTTTCTATAGTGAGAATGATGCATTATCGGCCATTTCGGAAAAATCTAAAGGCTTCCATGTAGCTATAGTAGAGGTATTGAAGTTTTTTGAATTTGATATATTTTTTTGATGACATGTATACTGTTGGTGCTAAGTCTTTGGAAATTAATATTTTCCAGATATGGGTGTTACAAAGTGGCACCCGGTTGCCTCCTTTTGAGCCTGTTCTTGATTTATTGGCTTCAATTTGAGGTGTTTTATGTATTTTTATATTTTGTGATAGGTGAGAGCAGGTAACCAAGATGGAAGGTTTAAATTTCTTGAAAGGGCGAAAGACTTGCCTACAATCAGTATGCCTCCTTAACCACTAATCTAAATTTCTATGATGATAAATCTCTTAATACCAACATAAATTGAGTTTCTTCCGGTTTTGATTGCAGTGACTTCAGATGTGAATTGCATCAGTACCATGATGAAGTGCATAGCAGTAGGTTTTATTCAATACAAGATTGTTTTTAAGGGTTAAATGCAATAAAAAGCAACAGATTTGTTGATTAATGCATTGTACTTTCACTTTGTCCTGTTAAAGCATTGCACTTTAAAAAATCTACCAATGTCATCTTAATATAATGCAAATTTTCTTACTATAACTAGGTAGATTTTTCAAAGCACAATGTCCTAATAAGATAATTAATAGTGAAAGTAAAATGCTATAGTTAGTACATTTTTTTACAATCCACTTCCTTGATAAGATTTTTTTTTTGGAAAATTCAATGTTGTAAAGGGAAAAAATGAAAATACAATGCTAAAATGAATGAATAAATGAAAGTATATTATTATTTCTTGCATTTATTCATATTTTTAATAACCAACTAGTCTTAGGCAACGTTTATGTTTTTCCCCTATTGAGTATCATCTTGAAAAATGATGTTTAAAATATATTTTAGAAAATAACAGAAAAAAATATTAATGTGAGCAAGTATCTCAAGTTACGACAAAGTGAAAAAACCTCTTTTTTTTTTACGAACTATCTAAGTCATTCTTTATGTACTAATAAAAAAACATGCATATATGCTTAACATATTAAATTGTATATATTGATCAGTGGACTAAATCTTTTCCCAATTAAGTCAAAAGAAAACATTATCAAAATCGTTTTAATATTGAAGTCTCAATGATAGTTCCTTGAGAAACCATTGTCCAAAGATAAACTCCAAAACATATGGCAACATTTGGCTTACAAGGTAAGTAAGTTTAATTTCTATTGTGAACTAATAAATTCATTACCTTTCACTTGTTTTCTAATAACGGGATTGTGAAAACTTCAAGCAGGCGTTCAATGCAGGACCAAAGGATGAAAATGAACAACTGATTCATTTGGAAGAAGTAGGTATAAAGCAAGAAATCATTCAAAATCAAGAACATAATGAGGAGGTATCAGTTGAAAATGATAAATATCCAGCTCCATCAACCCCACAGTTGAAGCAAGGAATAAGGCTAGTTGATAATGAAGATCAAACTAATCTCTCAACTGAGAAAGAGAGTGTCGAACATGATGGTGAGTCCAAATTTGTCGAAATTACTTGTGATGATCATTTATTTGTTGATAATATTATTATGGAGACAAACTCCTACAAGAGTTTGGATGAGGGAATCAACAAGCCTTCAAATAATGAATGTTGCCCCGATCCTAAAAATGATGGTAAGAAGCAAAACGAAGCATGCGAGCATCCTGTTTCACGTTCTAGTAAATCCGGTCGAAGAAAGATCAAGGTAAAGATGATGATTGATATGGTTTATTTGATTAATCCTGAAATCACTGTGCCTCATAGATAATTTATATATAATTTATGATGCACGCTATGCTCGTGCCTAATGCATACTTGTATGTTTAAGTGTGAGGCACACTGTGTGCGGTACATACTTATTGAAGGGTTTTGTACATAAGAACATTCCTAAGTGCGCATACAAACCCTAATGCTCGGATCTAGGTTTCTCTAATTAAACATGCATTGAATCCAAGACTGCTAATGACTTATTAGGTATAAGAACAACACAAAACCAAAGTTAGAAGCATACCTTGAAACACTTGTTTGATCTTCTTGTTCTTGGAGCTTTAGAGTCACAATTGTCACTCCTCTAATGGCTTACAAACACCAACTAGCAAACAGGATAATTTGAGAGAGAGGAGATGGGATGGAATTCGACCAGAGTATCCTTACTTTAGAAGATGTGTCGAATTCTCTATCCCATAGGGTCTATTTATACTTGTAGACTCCTTAAGGGTTACAACTTAAACCCTAGTTGGATAACTATTACTCGAAGCAATCCAAATCCTTCCAAGATAATGCCTTGGACGAATTTAGGACTTATCCTAGCCTAGAATTCGTCCAACCCTTTATCCAATAAGGATTTACAGTCTAAAGTTTAACTATCAAGCAATTGACAGTTTATACCCTCTTATTTAATTAATCTCTTTAAGTCACCAAATTAATACTAATTAATCTATAACTTATATTAATCAAATAACTATATTATTATTCCATATTAATAATATCTATTCTCTCATAATAAATCGTCCTACCAAGTTGCTATGGTGAAGGCAACCCAAAAGAACCATGCACAATCGGGTCAAATACTTGCCTAATATAGTTGCAGCCTTAGACACTATTCCAACAGTCTCGCACTTGGATAAGTCTGGTAACTATATGCGCAGGCACACTCCGATTTGCAATCGTAGCTCTCAAAGACACTGTCAAACTCTGATCTAATCAATCTTGTCCTTCAGATAAGGGATTATACAGTCCTCTGTTAGATATCATGCTGACAATACTATGGAATAGTTAGTCCGGCATTTTGTTTCTCAATTTCCGATTTATTTGACATAGAACTTAATCGAACACATCAATTCAGTTCTAACCGAGCCTGGCACATAAGTCAAACCAAATCATCGAGCGGCCGAGATATCACTTTTTCCTTCAAAGGATAAAGTTACAGATAAACTTCGACTTATATGCATTTACTTATTCATTAACCAACTACACACAATAATGCGTTTTATAACATCGAGTTACCAATGCGTTTTCGCATTATCAATGTACAATCAATTAACCAATAACAAATCATATATCTAGGTTTTAAGACTATATGATATTATCGTCTTGCGATCACCTTTTACTATCTTATTCCATAAGGTGATTCCAGCAAGCGCGGGTTTGTTCCGATGCTCAAAACTAGTTCATAAGCACTCATGAACGTTGCAACAATCTTTTACTATGTATAAAACTATTTAGACACTCTACACACCTATTCATGACAATCTTCATTCATACCTACTTCCAACATATGAACGATTGTGGACTATTTGAACAATTCGATTATTCTTAATAAACTCAATTATTCTGGAAGTCAAAACATGCAAAGTGAAACAATAGTTAAACAATTAACATAAGACAGTAACATTACTTATAAATAAAACTCCTATATTTAATCATCAAATGTTAATTACATTTATCTATTACACGTTTCTAATGATGGGTTTTGGTCATAAGACATCCTATGTGCTCATACAAACCCTAATGCTTGGATCTAGGTTTCTCTATTGTACATGCTTTGAATCCAAGACTATAAACCCTAATTCTATCATACATATAATCATATTAACATGAGAATAAGTTTATAGTATTACCTTGATTGTTATGTAGCAATAACAATCACAAATCTCCTTGAATTGACTTTGGAAGGCTTAGAGTCACAAGTGTCACTCCTCTAATGGTTCACAAACACCATAAGCAAGAGGATGAAGAGGAGAGAGGTTGGAGGCTGCCAAAAACGTGCGTAAACCCTTACAAGAAGCTTAGCCACGTTTTTGAGCTTTAAGGGGTCTTTATATAGTTGGGCTATTAGGGTTATCTAACAAGGAAACCCTAATTTGGATGCTTAAGCCCTAAGCAACCCATAGACTCCTTTAATTAAGCCCATGGATGATTTCCTTATGGGTTTCCCATTAGAATTCGTCCATCCCTTAATACAAGGCAATCCATGGCCCAAATTGCAATTATCTTATAATTACAATTCCATTCCCTTAAGTTTAATTAATCTCTTTTAGTCACAAAACTAATTACCAATTAATTATTGACTAATATTAATTAAACAATATGATTTCTCCTTTAATATATTATTCCCATAATATATTAATAAATCATATTTAATCCTTACTCTCCATAATTCATCCTATCAAGTTGCTTTGGTGAAGGCAACCCAAAAGGACCATGCACCATCGGGTCAAGTACATACCAAAATAGTTATGGACTTAGACACTAATCCAACAGTCTCCCACTTGGATAAGTCTAACAACTATTCTGCGTATGACTTCAGATCCGATCTGCAATCGTAGCTTTCCAAAGCCGCTGTCAACTCTGATCTATCAGATACGCGTGTCCTTAGATAAGGGATCATATATTCCTCCATTCTAGATATCGTATGAGATATGATTTCTAATCATTCTCTTTGTACTACTTCTCGATTTCTGATTTATGACGACAGACTAATTGAACAAATCAAATTAGCCCTAGCCCGGCCGAGCATTTACGTATGTCATCACTAAACCATCGAGGGGCCCAAAGATATCGCTTTTATCCTACTTGGATAAAAGGAACGGATAAACTTTGATACAATGCTCGCTTGCACTCACTAACCAAATCACACACAACAATATGTTTTATAACACCAAGTTACTAGTGCGTTTACATATTATCAATGTGCAACCGATTAGCAAGATACAACTCACACATCTCGGTTTCAAGAATATAAGATGTTATCGTCTCACTAATCACTCGAGATAGTGATCCAAGTGAGCGTGGGTTTAATCCAATGCTCAAATCATATTCATAAGCACTCATGAACGTTGCAGCAAACATTTGCTTATGTCTAATACTTTTCTAGACAATCCACACACCAATTCATGACAGTCTTCATTCATATCTACTTCCAACATATGAACGACTGTGGCCCGTTTGAATAATTCGATTATTCTTAATAAACTCAATTATTCTGGAAGTCAAAACATGCAAGGTGAAACACAAGAATAATACTAATCCCATATGGCCTCAAACCTTTGAGTATAAACAAAACACGTTTTATTTATCACCATATCGATTACTCATTATTTGTCGTTTCGGGTAATCAACTTCTTACTTGAATTATTACACTTGTCCCATGCTCCTAGCATGCACACAATGTTTACCTATGGTTCTTACTTTTGTGAAATAGACAAATTGAACACATTTCCAATCATTCTCATTTTACAACTCCAAATCCATTTTCTTAAGTGTAAGAATATCAAATTCTTGTTACTTATAGAATATACTAGATTCTAACACTTTATGCAACGATCCTTTTGTAATGTCACTGCACCAAAGTCTCAAAGACTATTGCCAATGATATTACAAATTCCTCTATCGGAGATTGTTACAAGACAATTCCTTAGATATGATGTCTCTCACTCAAAGTACATTCCTTTGAACATCCTTTTGCATAAAGTTTCTAATCTAGACATAGATTTTCAATATTTACTTCCCAATATGGACACGCTTCCATATTTTTCCATATGACAACTAATTTCTTAATAGAATCTTATCTATTCGTAATGATGTCGATATTGTCCATCCAATATGGAAACATTTCCATAATTTCCAATACTATACTTCCAACTACTCACAAGCGACCAATCCTCGTCGAACTTTGGATTGTCCTTTGATAGTTGTTTAATTATTTTAGTCAAAACCAATTCTAGTCCCTTTTCCTTCTAAATGCACTAGACATTTGGAAAATTTTAGAATGGTCAAACATTAAATCATTTGCAATCGATCCTATACTCGAAGCGTATGGGACACGACGCACAATGTTTTATTTTCTATGTTCTCAAAATTCGAATTGTGAAGAGGAATGCCGTAATCATAATCGAAACTTTAAGAACACACTATGTACCTTTGACTAAATTTATCAATTGTTGAAATGAAGCATAATATTCTCTCCCTTAATTATAGCAAAACAACCTTTCAACTCTTACAACTTTGCAAAGTATGACTCTTGTTTTCTATAATTAATATTGCCAACTATGCAATACTTGCCTTAATAATCATACAGTCATAACATTTATGCTCCCACTATCATGATGATTATTATAAAACATAACACTTATGCTCCCACTAGCTTCGACATGTATTCATAAACATCTTAACTTTCAGAAAAAACAATACCTATTGAATTTCTTAAGTCCATGTTTTAATACTTAGTGCTTTGATAATCTTTTATCAAGACTTCTTGAACTTATACACTTTTGCCTTAGATAGTTCATATGTGTGTCTTAACAATTAAGACTAATTGCCAAACCTCACAATTCAAATTATGGAAAGGGATGCCGTAACCATGATCGAATTCGAGAATGCAATTTTACAATCACTATCTTTTAAAATCTTTCTTAGTGAAAGCATTTTCTCACAATCATTTTCATGAAGGAGGAAACCTTATGACACTTAGATTTAAACAGTGTATGTGTTCCTATCCATGTGAATTTGTTAAAAACCAAAGTTTACGACAAATTCAAACTCATATGGATCGAACTTTCTTAATCTTGATTTCTTGCCTTATGGTAGCACAGCTGCCCACCATGTCTTCCAAGTAGTTAAGCATCTTACCTTTTTCCTATCAATGCACCTTTCATTGATCAAGGTCCTTGCCTTTTACGCATTCAAATGAGAACTCATAGGACTCACATGCATAATTAACTCGATTGGATTGGCACAGAAACAAAATAATGTCTTCACGATAGGTTG